TATATATATATATCATCAACCAAGATAATGCATATTTAATTTCTCGAGCATTAAAACCAAATCATCTTTCCCCATTAAAATGAATCTAAATGCCATTAATATCTCCCCCTCGACGCCCCAAAAAATGCATTGTTTTTATTAATCAGAACATTTAAGAAAATAGCACTTGGCAATTTTGTTTGTAAAATATACAGTAATTATTGAAAAGAATGTAAAGAGTCTAACAGTTTGTGCATCATGCTATTTCAATGCCATGTATTCTTTATCATCTGCAAACTAATATCACTGCAGCTTACCGAGCAGTTTTGTCTGTTGTCTTCATGGACATGTTTTGTACTGCACCCAGCGGCCAATGCGCACACAGCAGGAGTTGCACATTCCCCATTGAAATATCCGTTGCTAAAATGGATATGATGTTGCGACACTGATGCTAGTTTTATTAGCCTGTCTATGGTGCTTTGCATTGTGTGCTATCATGAAGCTAACTGACTTTTGTCGTACTGGTACGTGGCGTTTGGTTCAATATTAGTTTTGAAGTTCTCCTGTAAGATTAACTCAGGGTGAAACACAAAACAAAAAAAAATGTAAGTCATGCTCCTATTAAATCGAGGTGCCACTTGTATACTACAGGGTTTGACGCCGTGTACCCTTTGCTACTAAATTCTCATTCGGAGTACAGGCAGGAAGAAGCTGCGGAGACACATCATCAGTATGCAGGGGTGCAGCGCACACGTGTTGCCTGCGAAGCACTTTGCGACATGTTCTCTGATCCATGACAGAGTGAAGGGCTGAGTGGGGGAGGGGGACTTGTAAGGCAAGGGAGTACGACAGGAAGGCTTGGGCGCAGGATGGATTTTACAGCCATAGTCATTGCACTCCGACAGTTTTTGGACAAAGTCTTACTACCATTTCGTCATTTTAAATTAGTTTTTGTCCAATTCCTACTCAATTATTTCACGTAATATGTTATATGTTATAAATATGTTATAAAATGCGTGACAATTTGTACATAATCCGAGTCGATTCTTGTAATTTCACGGTTACTTTTGGCAAATTAAATTCCAACAAAATACGTGTTCGTAACTTCAGTGAATTACCTTTTGCACAAAATGTGATACGTTTTTGCACTTCCGCTGCCTAAGAAAAAAAAAAGAAGCAGAATGCTATGAAATGAGAGCCAGTTTATGCATAAAGGTTACTAAATTATGGTTAGTAATTCCACTACAATATAATTTGTCCAGAATACAACTAAATCTTACTGAAGACCTTTTTACACAAAACCTGCCGAATTTTGCACTTTTGGGATTTTTTTTTTTTTTTGGATGGGGGGGACAGAAACCGACAAAATCCTTTCAAGTCTCCATGGCAACACACCAATGAAGGAAAACTTCCCTGCCATATGTGACTGGTGATAATCCTACAAAATACAAGTGTTTGGAAATAATGTTCCTACATGCCTTTTTATATAAACTCCCCAATTGATACAAAATAGACTGCGCTGACATTTTTTTTTGCACAGTACTGTAAAGCCCATTGGTGACCAGAGTCAAGGTGCTCTTATTGATGGTACAGCGTTTGTTGCGTGAGTTTGTCACGAGAAAGCCCCAAAAATAAATGCGAGCAGTATGTAAACAGGCAGACCCCCTGGAGCGGCTGTTGTCCCTGGCGAGGGCCGTATGCTATAAGTCACACACGCACACATGCAACACAAACACATGCTTGCAGATTTGGAAGGTAACCAGAGTCGGCCTTTTAGGCGCACCAACAAGTAGCGAGCAAAACGTGTGCGTTTGTGTGCGCACGTGCGTCTCTCGCCAGGGGTGCACAACGCACACATGAATCTATGACCTCCATTTTCAGTGGATGCCATTTGACAACATCTGGATTTCCGCGTCATTTAATTGCAAACGCAAAGCACCACAGACAAAAGCTTCAGTGGTTGCGTTGCTTTTAGCATTCAGAGACCACAGTAAAAATGCCGTCTTGATTAGTTTTGACAGCTGCCGCATAAATTCCAACACTTTACTTTTTGTGCATATTCTACTAAATTCTAATCATTTGATTGCATCAGATCTATTTTTAAAAAATTACATTTTGTAGAGAGTGCTACTAAAATTTTCAAATGTCACTGCATTGCTTTTTGCACAAATCTTACTACGTTTTTGCGAGCACCTTAACTGCTTTTTAAGTCGGCATAAAAAAAAAAAAAAATCATACCAAATTCTTGGAGTTTACCTGCAATACAATTTCGACTGAATTGAATTATTATGAGTAATATAACTGCAATGCTCTCTGTACAACTTGTACGAAATCAGTATAGGTCATTTTATAGATTTAGATATATCAGTTTATATTTTATATAAAATTGAACACCACTTAAACAGTTTTCTTTTGTAAGTTAAACAAAAAAAATTATCATAAGGACAACAGAAAACAAGAAATAACATCAATCATTTATTCACTGCTTTTCACAAGAGCACAACCTCAGTTTCAGAGTCATAACTTAACATCATTTTCTGGGATACAGTCAGATAGTGCTGAAATAATATATATTTAAATATTGCTTTTTCTTGCTTTCCTTCATTTAAAAAAAACTTGTTTAAAGCATGTTGGCATACTAAATATTCCATACTTGTCAAAAGTTAGGACACGCGTCAGTTGTTAGCATATCATCACTGTCCTGTGAAAACAAGTCCATTTTTGTCATTAAAAATTCTTTATTTTTTTTTTGTTAATGTCCATATTTCATACAAAAATGTGTTTTTCACAGGACATTGACGATTAGGCAAGTTTGTCCAAATTTTCGAATCCCTTACGGGAACCATGATGTAAAAAAAATTTGGTTTCATTTTCACATTTACTGACCCCAATAAGCCATAATGGCACCATACAACAGAAAGTCACGCTGTTGGAATTAAAACAATATGTCTGTGCACAAAGCACACCACCACAAAAATAAAAATTGAAATTGGCCTTGGAGTTGCCTAATTAAAGTGATTACCAATAAAAGTCTCGATTTCACTTTCTATTGTAGAAAGGCGGCCAATGAACAAACGAGCTAATTGAGTGATAGACTGGAGTACACCGGATATGTTGTTTTGAAAGACGGCAACAGTTTGAAAGGCAGGACTTAAGTAAGTCTATGAGTAGCCGAGGTCTTTCTTTGAGTTGTCGGCACGCGTCAAGACACATCGTCGTGATCATTGCCTGACCGCCGGCATTCGGGACGCACAGGAAAGGACAAATGCCGTCTCGATTTGTTGCGACAGCGCAATGCACACGAGCAACACTTACAGGACTTTAGTGCGACAGTACATATCGAACAGAGGCAGAAATGTCCTTTTGATTCATTTTGACAGTCAGCAAGCTTAAAACACACAACACCTACCACGCTGAAGTGCGGAGTGAGGTTTTGATTTGTTTTGATTATGGGCTACTGTTGAAAATGCATGCTAGCGACAGGACTGAAGTATAACAAACAACCTGTAGTCAACAATCACTTTTTGAAAGGTGTCTCTCTTTCTTTGAGGTGTTCACCATTCTGAGTTTGGAAATGTCTGAACTTGTTTTGACAGTCGACAACAGTTTGAAAGGCAATTTAGCGCCATAAAGGACTTAAGTGAAACAACAAGTCGCTCAACTTTCTCTACGTTTTCTGCAGGCCTCAAAGCATGTTGTTTGTACCACTGTTTTTTGTTTGTTTGGGTTTTTTTTTGGGGGGGGGGGGGATTCTTTTGCAACTCTGCATTTCATATAAGCTCGGCAATTAGCATGGCTTCTCCGTCTTGTTGCCTCTTACCCAGAATTTTATGTTTCACGACTCATAATGGGACGCCTCGGGATCCGCCAGGAAGAGCTCGAAGAAGTGGCTGGGGAGAGGGAAGTCTGGGCTTCCCTCCTAAAGCTGCTGCCCCCGCGACCCGACCCCGGATAAGCGGTGGAAAATGGATGGATGGATGGATGGAAGTCAAAGTACACAACGTAGTAGAGTAATTGCATTCAAGAAACAATCTCTCTGTAAATGGTTTAAAACTTACTTTCTTTATAAATCTCATTTAATCTTAAAGTGCATTACTATATTTTTCAATACCAATTACTTGTTAAAGTTTGTACAATCAGTGGGATCAGTTGCAATGCATATATGTGAATGATAAAAGTAAATTGCACATTTGTCGAAGGAAATGTAAGGTGCTTCATAAAATGTTTTGTAAAAGATATGTTCATTAAATTTCAACAATTTCCTAATGTTCTTGTGCTTCTTTATACCAAAACAAAGGAAAGACATACTGCTTTGGTTTTTTATAGCAAAGTATGGTATCATTTTAATGGTCCGGCCCACTTGACATCTACCGAGGCCGTATGTGGCCCACCATGTGAAATGAGTTTGACACCCCTGGTCTAGTGCTCTCCCAACTGAGCTATTTCAGCCTCTTGTGTCTTTCACGAAGACCTTTTCACCAGTCAATCAATGGGATCAGATCAGCCAAAATCACAACAGTGAGTCACAGGACACATTGTAGTACAGTAATCACAACAAAGAAATGAATTATGTGCCTTACATGCCGAAACCCGGGGTTGAAGCAGGGACCTTTTGATCTTCAGTCTAGCGCTCTCCCAACTGAGATATTTCAGCCTCTTGTAGCTTTCACTAAGCCGTTTTCACCAGTCAATTAATGGGATCTTATCGGCCAAAATTAAAACAGCAAGTCAAAATACACAACGGAGTAGGCCAAAATTAAAACAGCAAGTCAAAGTACACAACGTAGTAGAGTAATTGCATTCAAGAAACAATTTCTCTGCCTTACATGCCGAAACCCGGGTTTGAACCAGGGACCTTTCTATTTTCAGTCTAAGGCTCTCCAAACTGAGCTATTTCAGCCTCTTGTGGACTTTCCTCAGGCCTTTTCACCAGTCACTTAATGGGATCTTATCGGCCAAAATTAACAGCAAATCAAAGTAGTAGAGTAATTGCATTCAAGAATCAATTTCTCTGCCTTACATGTCGAAAACCGGGTTTGAACCAGGGACCTTCAGATCTTCAGTCGAACGCTCTCCCAACTGAGCTATTTCGGCCTCTTGTGGAGGTTCCTCATGACTGTTCACCAGTCAATTAATGGGATCTTATCAGCCAAAATCACAACATTGAGTCACAGGACACATCGAAGTACAGTAATCACAACAAAAAAATGAATTCTGTGCCTTACATGCCAAAACCCGGGGTTGAACCAGGGACCTTTAGATCTTCTGTCTAACGCTCTCCCAACTGAGCTATTTCAGCCACTTGTGGCATTTCCTCTGGCCTTTTCACCAGTCAATTAATGGGATCTTATCGGCCAAAATTAAAACAGCAAGTCAAAGTACACAATGTAGTGGAGTAATTGCATTCAACATTTAGACTCCCAAGGGGGAGACTTTAGTCTCCACTCTATTTCCCCCCCACAGAAACCAAATATGTGTCACACCCTAATTACTGTCCATTGTATTCTTAAGTACCCATCAATGAGTGGGTACTTACCAACTGACAAAGACGCAGCTGTCCTGCACAATCTCAAATGCGGTGTCAACATCATGGACCAGAAATTGCGCAGTTACACTGTGCAAGAAGGTACAAGGAGATGGCCGATGGCTGTGTTTTATAACCTCCTTGACATGGCTGCCACAAACGCACATGTTTTGTACACAACATGTACAGGGTCAAAAGAAAGTCACAGATTGTTCATGCTGGAGCTTTCAGAGGAGCTCAAAAGGAGACTGATGCAGGAAAAACAAGTCTAAGAGCAGAGAGATGAAAGTTGAAACCCTGTACAATATGATCAGATGACTTCTTATTTCCCTCGAAAAGTCAGCAGTTACACATGATGGCAGCGCTGTGAACATCATTTTGGAAAAATTTTAAAAATTTCTGAATGAAATCATAATGACAGTTAATTCACAACGGTGGTTCTTCCCCGCTGTTTCCACCTTGTGTATTGACCTTCTTCGCTCTCAGTTGCTGGAGCCCCACTGGGACGTGCACGGCACAAGTCCATTACTGCCGTCTGCTGGTAATATTTTGTCATTGCAAGAACCTTGAAGAATACCACACAATTTCTGATGACAATCGAAAAATCAGCAGGAACACAAAATTGCCCCCTGTGAAGATAATTGTGTGACATTTGGTGGATTTTTTTTTAAATTTCAGAACACAAAAAAACGTTACAATTAGTTCACAACAGTCAATTTTCACCACTGTTTCCACCTTGTTTTCAGATCTTCTTCACTCTCAATTGCGAGAAAAGGCCCCATTGGGACGTGCAAGGCAGAAGTCGATTACTGCCCTTTTGTGGTCACAGTTTTTCATTGCACCCTTTTGAAAGATGACCATATTATTTATTACCCTCGAAAAATCATCAGGAACACAAAATGCCCAGCTTGTGCCGATCATTTTGTGGCAACTGATGGATTTTTTCCATTTCTGAAACCAACAAACATTGCTATTCATTCACAACGGTCGTTCTTCCCCACTCTTTCCACCTTGTTTTGGATCTTCTTCACTCTCAATTGCGAGAAGAGCCCGATTGGGACATACACGATAGAAGTTCGTCTATTCCTTATTCCGGTCATAGTTTGTCAATGCAACCTGATGAAACAATACTATCTTGCTGTATTTCTTACCCTGAAAAGTTGATCACTGCTGTCTGTTGGTCACAGTTTGTCATTGCAACCCTTTTCAAGATGATCA